TAGTAACCAGCAGCACACTTATAAGATGGGAAACTCCCTTCTTGAGAGCACGGAGGCAGAAAGGGATCTTGGAGTCATTATTGACTCCAAGATGAACATGGGCTGACAATGTGAGGTCATGGTCGGCAGGGCTAACCGGACCTTATCGTGCATCCACAGGTGCATCTCAAGTATGTCCAAGGACGTGATCCTCCCCCGCTACGCAACACTGGTGAGGCCGCAGCTGGAGTACCGTGTCCAGTTCTGGGCACCCCACTTCAAGAGGGATGTGGACAACATTGAGAGGGTCCAGATGAGGGCCACCCGCATGATCCGGGGACTGCAGGGCGGACCCTACAATGAGAGGTTACGGGACCTGAACCTGTTCAGCCTTCGCAAGAGAAGGCTGAGGGGGGACTTGGTGACCATCTATAAACTCACTAGGGGGGACCAGAAGGGTTTGGGGGAGACCTTGTTTCCCCTAGCACCCCCCGGGATGACAAGGAATAACGACCACAAGTTGTTGGAGAGTAGGTTTAGATTAGACATCCGTAAGAACTACTTCACAGTTAGGGTGGCTAGGATCTGGAACCAACTTCCAAGGGAAGTGGTGCTGGCTCCTACCCTGGGGGTCTTTAAGAAGCGGCTTGATGCCTACCTGGCTGGGGTCATTTGAGCCCAGTTTTCTTCCTGCCCAGGCAGGGGGTCGGACCTGAAGATCTGCAAGGTCCCTTCCGACCCTACTTCTATGATTCATTGGCTTGCCATTCTGAAAGGTTGAGCTCCTCTGTTATATATTGATTTCCAGCCTTAAGGAAAAAAAGAGACTTGCAACTTGTTAGGGACAGAAAGCAATGTCTTGAATACTGACACCTTTTCCCACTGTCTTTCAACCATGTATTTAAATGTTCTTGTTCAGGGTCCTTTTGTATTTGTTCTATCCACAGGCCACTATGCTAGATCAATGCACTCATATAGGAAGGGTTTACAGTCCAGTATACAATACCTTCTGCTCACTGACCAGGTCACATACAAGTTGCCCGGTTGCAGAGACAGCAGGCTGGGCAGGGAAGTAATGCTAGAGCCTTTGCAGGAAGGGCAGAAAGGGGCTTGCACGCAGGAGCTCTGAAAAGGTGCAAACCTAAAAAAATATGCATGCATGCAATCGGATTGCCAGCACAACGGAGGGGTCTGGTTGACTGCATCCAGGATATAAACACAGCAGACGGTGGGAAAGAGAGACGAGGGAGAGGACTGGGACAGTCTCTCTGTCCAGGGAGAGGACTGAAAGCCTGCTCCGGGAGCCAACACACCAGGAAAGATGAACAGCCTGTGATGCTCATTAAGGAGATGGGTCCCTATCTTGGAGAGGAGCCGTGCAAACTCAGGAGTCCCGGGAAAGGGGAGGGGGAAAGGAAAGAGTCTGCACAGGAATCTGTGCTTGCAGCTGGGTCGGAGCCTTGGGAGAGTTTAGACTGCAGGAACAGGGGACCTGCTGGTAAAGGGAGGCAGTCTCCATTAAGCACCCCTAGTTTTACAAGGAAAGGGAATGTGGGGAGGCATTTAACCTCACAGTGCTTGTAAAAAGTTTATTTACAGGGAGGAATCATCTCGCAGCTGACCCAAGGGAAATTTGTTTAAAAAGAAACACTGAGGAGCCGTGCACTGCCATCTGGTGACCACTCATAGCAACAGCAGTGTTGCCATTTATTTCTACTGGAGTGAATAGACAAGGTTCTTTGGGTGAATCTGATATCTTTTATTAGACCAACTTAAATAATTGGAAAACAATTATTAAGCAAGCTTTTGGGTTCAAAAACCCTTCATCAGGCTAAGGAAGTTTCAGCAGTTGGTGTGTGCTCTTCCTGGATGGTTCCTTGGAGTGAACTGAATTCCTAGTAGAACTGAGGGTTAAAGTCTATAATCTGTGAATGGACATACATTCATAGGGCCATTGCATGTGGGATTGTTATAGTATGGACTATTCACTAATGTTGGGTTTATAGATAAAATTTTGGTTATGGGTTTTAATGGATGTTGTTGTATATAATTGTATTATATTTGATATTAATCTTTTCTCTTCTTTTCTGTAAATAGTTATAGCTTAAATAAAGAACCCTATCTGTTCCTTAGGCTGGAGTGGATTCTTGGGAAGGTGAGAGTGCGGGACACACTTTTTTGACGGGACACCTCAGCCAGCCGAGCTGCCTGAGGGAGAGCCCAAAACTATTGACACCCTGAGATCTTGAATCTGGTGCAGCGCCTGGCACTGGTGCTGGGGGAGGGTTACACATATTTAGCCCAGTAAAAAACATTAAAAGTACTTAAGATAACAGCAACTGAAGCTGCTTTCTGTGGTTGCCATTTGGCCACTAGCATATGTTCATTTAACGACATGATAGAATCCAATCCCTGATCCCAACAATAAGCTTCCTGCCATGCTATATTTGCAGGACAGGAGGCACGATTATTGGGATTAGAGAGCCAACTCCAATCGTGCAACTGCTAGCATGGGAAGCCTGGGGCACAGCTTTGCAAGTACTAGCTGGGGGGAGTCAATCAACTCCCTCCACCTGGCAGCTGCAAACCATTGGTTCCCAGACTGGAACTTTAAAACTTGGTGTGTACAGTCCAGCTGCATGCATGGATTTTACACATCCCATCATATCAGGGCCCTGATATTAGGAAACGGTTTCCTGTCTGTTGGGAACTTTAAAACTGGTACGTGCAGCCCAGCTATATGCACAAATTTTAGAACTGGCACATGGGGAGAGGCCCCCTGATCCTGGGCTTGTGTACGTGCTGCCTAGAGATGCTGTAAGTATAGCTTTTAACTGACATGGAAGGACCCAATTGGTTCCGTGCCCCCTGTGTGGGACTTGCATGGCCCATGCACCAGGAGTCTTGCACCTGGGCCACAAGGGTGCTTTGAACATGCCACACATGGAGGAAGCCAACACGTGGTACTTTAAAATGACAGGTTGCAGGAAAGGCCAATTGGTGCAGGGGTTGCAGGGGGAGGAACCTTGCAATCTGGTCCCTCAGTGCCCCGTTTCAGTATTAGGACTGGGGCTGTCCCAGTGCCAATGCTGACAATCTGCTCATTGTCAGCATCAGCATGGAGGCATATTACATTTAATTTATGGAGCCATACAAACAGGCGGCAAAGTTGTTCCACATTTTTGTGGACCATCTTTGGGGATGATTTGCTACTTCATGGTGCCATAAAACTGCTGAACATATAGCACTGTTACTATTTATGGTGTGTTAAACACATGAATCATGCCATAAATGCAATGTGTACCAGGGGACTATGAGACAGCAGACAAGCAGCTAAGCAACATTCTCTAATATCTCCAAATTTACTATATAGGGAAGCTTCTCAGTATTTCAGACTAATGGAGACATTGTACCATGGAAATTCTTGGGAGTCATATGCAGGCTCGTGGTAAAAACACAAAGTAACATTAATGAAGGCTGGCTCTGTGGGTATAAATCATATATTTCATTTTAATTATTGTACTGAGAAATACTAACCGTGAGATCTTTAACTGAAGAAATGAAGAGATGATGTGCTAGGAAGCATAGATTAACTAATGGATGCTTCTCTCATTTATTTTACTCTTGGATGACTTTGCAAACGCCATATTTTCTTGCATACAACGTGTGTAATATCACGTGCACCTTTTTTGGAAGTCAAAATGAAGGGAAAATATTCTAGAGTTATGGCTGCATAGAGCAGAAACAAAGGCTAATCTTTAGCTGACATCCTCCCTTTCCTTCTGCTCCGGGAGACTGATCTCAATGAATGGAGCTATGATTCAGAAAAAGAACTGGAGGAGAGAGAACAGAAGCAGCTAGTAGACAGCAAAACTGCCCGAAGAAAGGTTAGTTTGATTGGTGGAACATCATCATGACCATTAAAAAGGAGAGACTATCATTACCACTTCTGGAATGAAGAACAATGAACCATTAAGTCAACTGACTCCCTCAGTTGCCTGAATAGTAAAGCAACAGCTGCTGCAGAGCAGGAATCAAAGCAGATGCTTGCACCTTGGGCAGAAAATTGGCTTCCCTGCTAAATTCGAGAGGGCTGATTTTTGGAGGATAGGTACATGAGTGAGAAAATATAATATCCTTTTATTGAGTTAACACTACTCTACACAGTGCAGCAGGACTTTAATACAAGAGATTATTTGTATGGTCTCTTTGGGTTAATTTTGCTTCGTCCAGTGTTCTGATTTTTCCCCTTTTGTCCTTTAGTGGTGGATAATTAATTTACTAATGTAGGTTTATGTTGGTTATTACTTTTTGAAAGATCCCCTTTCTCAATAATTTTTTAATTAAATATTTCTAATTTAAAAAAAAATCAACCTGTTCCATACATAATTTTTAGAAACTGAAATACCATTTCAAGTAAAATTTGTAGTTAGATTAGGGCTGTCAATTAATCCCAGTTAATCCATGTGATTAATGTGTTAATTGGTTCTTGCATTAATTTTTTTAATGGCAGTTAATAGCGCATGTGATTTTGGAGCCCGCGCCTGGGCTCTGCTCCACTACCTCCAGGCTGCCCAGCAGCGCAGTTGTGGCAGTGCACAGGACCTCAGGGCAGCCCAGGCGCAGGCTCCAGGCAGCTGCAGCAGGAGAGGAAGGAGGGGGCATGCACACAGACGCACACAGAGACAAACATGAGCAGCTGCAGCCTGCACACTACGTGTAGAGCAGTGCCATGCTGGTAAGTCTCGGGGGGGGAAGAGGGAAGGGGTGTGGGGGGCAGATAGAGGCCATGGTGAGGGGGGGAGTGAGGCAGGGGCTGCTTTTGCCCTGGGAGCCATGTACTGGTCATGCTGCGTGTCACCTGTCTGCCCAGCTGCAGGAGGGACAACATGGCATACCGTGACTCCTGGGGCAAGGCAGCAAGGCACAGAGCCCCAACCTGCAGTGGGCAACTCACCTCTGCCCCATGTATAAATCAGGGGGCACATGTCCCCCATGCCTCCCTTGGGGGGGGGTGTGCAGCAGCAGGGAGTCATGCCCCCTCACCCCTGGACGCACTTCCTGTGGCTCCATCCCACAACCCACCCTGGCCCTGGGGCCTCATTCACTGCAGCCCTGCCCCTACCCCATGCCCTCCCTCACTGTGGGGGCCTCGACCTGCACCCCCACACCTCTTCCCTATACCCCCACCTCCACAGACTTACTTTCTGGGCAGTGTGTGTGTGTCTGCCCCTTACTCCTATGCCACAACCCCGCTGCTGCCTCTCATCCCTGACCCACAGTACCCTACATCCTGCCAGGGCATGGGGGACCCCCCCCCCCAGGCTCCAAACCCCATACACACACCCACAATCCTCTCACACCTTCACAGATTCCACACACATACCCCATCCCCACCCCCAACCATACAAAGTACCTGCATAATTTTGAGTTTTTATCTGTGCGATTAAAATTGCGATTAATTGCGACTATTTTTTTAATCATGATCAATTTTTTTTTAAATCATTTGACAGCCCTAAGTTAGATAAATTTTAATTTCAAGAAAAGACAAATAAATGAACAAGACTAGAGGAAGATGAGTAATAAGTACTTTTTGAACCTTTATATAACACTTTACTATAAAAAGTACACCTTAATGCTAGTACAAACTGCCTAAAGACACTTAAAAAATATTGTCTCATGTTTTTCTACATGAAATTAACCACTTTTTAAAGTTTATTAATAATACAAAAGGTTCCATACAGTAAATCTTGCATCAGAGATACTGCACAGCGGTGTCAAGGCAGTTTTACTTATAGCAAGTGTGGAATGCTAACACAATACAACACATTCTGTGTGTACTAGCAGCAGCATAACATTTTAAGTTTGTGGGTATGAGGAAGGGGTAACACACCCCGTATTCCTCTATATGATATTTATTATTTTTCCAAATTCAGTCTGCTACCAACCTTAAACATAGAAACCTGTGGAATAAAGCCAATGCCAGTTGAAAAAGCCTGCGTAATGAACACAGTCTTCATGAAGACAACATTCAGCTCAATAGGGACTTCCCCTTCAGTTGTCCAAATTTCACTCAGTGAAGAGTGGAGCATACCTGGATTTGGGATTTTGTAACTTGTTTCTGTCCATGCACTGAGAAGTTCAAGGGCTGAAACTGGAGCCCCTCAGTTCAAGCTTGGTACTTTGTTTCACCTCTGGAACACTGTTTATTCAGGAAATCAAGTATACCTTTCATAGTATACTGTTTACCACATGATTTAGAATGCCATAATGAAAACAATCATGTGTGTCCCTAAGCACCTTTAATGGGGGAAAAATGCATTTGTTATATCCTAGTTCAACCAAAGAGTCCTTTTTTTGCTCCCATTTTTGGTTTCTTGCCAGCAGTATCAGAAGGAGCTGTCTGCTTTGAAGTCCCAAACCATTCTGGCAACTTCCTCTTTGAAGGCTGACTCAAAGTCTAGGAAAAGAAAAGCATACTTGTAGTGCATGTGTAAGTATTTTGACTCATAGTGACAATAAACTCTATGGGCAGGCATGTGTGCTTTGCAGCAACTCAAACAGAAGTGGCACAAATTTGAGCTGGGGCTTTTTGCCTCAGCACACGTACCCAGATATGCACTTTGTTGTGGGGCAAGTTGTGCCACTTGGGGCAAAATAACCCTGCCTAGCTCCTCTCGGATCTGCAGTCAGGGGGAGCTACAGACCGGGGCCAGCACCTGTACAGATCCCAGCAATACAAAAAGCTGCCCAGGCAAGCAGCTCAGGGCTAGTTGCTCTCAGGAGCTTCTGGGGTCTGGCCACTTGATATCTGGGGACACTACCCCTTGTGGCAGCTGGACTGCTGAAGCAGCATCTCAAATTCACACTTTGGGGTATTTTAAAGTCCACATTCTTCCACAAATAAAACAAAAGACCACTATATATAGAGAGACAGACAGACCGAGACAGAGAGAGAGACAGTAAGAGATCAGTTAGGCCATGTTTTACTGCTATATTTACAGTGTTAAAGCAATTTGGAAGCCTATAGTGTCACTATCATCATAATAAAATAAATTCTAAATATCTATGTTTTGATGTTTGCTTTTGGTTTTTTTAATCACACAATGGATGTGTGATGGGGAGATGTGGGGTTTGCAAGAAAGAGGTAGGAAGGGGTGTGGGGGGGATGTGGGTGGAGGGCACAGTCCCCCCCACAGCACATGGGCTGCCCCCCTGCAGGCTCCCAGCCCCACCTGCAGGGCCCAGAGGCCCCCCTTCCTCCCCAGGGCCCACAGCCTGCCCTCCCCCGCACAGCTCACATGTCCCCCCCCTGGCTCCCCCGCCCCAGCGTCGCCACACA